GGAAACTTTTTCGCAATTTTGACAAGAATTTCATTAATACTTCAAACAAAACACACTACATACCTCAAACCCCGACGTCAAAACACAATTGTAAGAAGATTAACTTTGATATAGACTACTTACCTACACATATATAGGATCGCATGTCTACGTTCGCAATTTTTTTTTCTACTTCTTATTATTTTTTGATGTAGAATTGTGTTTAGAAAGCGTTTGTTTCGTATTACTACGTACATGTACACGGAAACATCCTATGTATACATAAACGATAGACATACATATAAACATAGGTCCGTTTCGCGTGTACTAAGATAAATTTCGCAGACCCCACTATCAACTACCCTAACCGACAATAATTTTCGTCGAACGCGAATGCGAACGGTCTGCTTGGTGCACTTGCTCCTCGGCTGTGCACTCCGCTCTTTTAACGGCATACCATTAATTTAACTATCTTAGCTAATTTATGTCGGGCACTTTTCTCGCTGTTTAGATGCTCTAAAATGTCGATAATGGCCCTTGTCGCTTCAAAACTTCGCTTTGTATTTGAATACGCGCATTCTCAAAAGCATACGTGCCGTTTAATGAAGTTCGACATTTAACACATATTAAAATTGACTTTTCTTATGTAACCCAAAAAATCTTTTGTTACTAAAACTTTTCGTAAGTGTCTCGTTTCTTTTATGTTTTGTCAGCATCGCTAAAAAGTGTTCACATTGTTTAATAATATCTCGGTTTAAGATTGTAAATTAGCGGTAGCTCGGGTCTTTTCACATAATCAAAATTTGATCGAAATATTTTAATTATAGGTATCTGACGATCGAATCAGCGGCTGTTTACTATTGGTGCATTATCCACTAAGATACTGAAAGAATTCATTTTGGGACGGTTCACAATTTGTTAGTCAATATGTCGCTACAGGTTTTGAGCAGACTAAGGAACTTGCTCAGGTTTTAGGTATTATATGACATTGAAAAAGAAGAACTTCGAAATACAGATTTTCCCTCATCATCTACAAACAGTAGGATCTGTTTCTTTTTCTGTTGCAAAATGCCCCCATTTTTTATAGGCGGTTATTTGCGAGGTTTGGGGTAGTATTTTTATATTATGTATTTTCTTTTTTGAAAATTTCACAAGTTTCTACACGAAGATTTCTATTATTTCAGATAATCTATCAAATGGATGAATTACCAGGGAAATTCAGCGTTTCCGGCTGGAGTGTTAAGGAACGAACTGACCGGTAAGCTAAGATTGATTAGTTATTTCTTTTATAAAGAAAATATTGTTTCTACTGGAATAACAGAAGTAACGTAGGTACCTACGTGGTGAAACAACAATTTATTAGGTATTATTTGATACCGTTATATTGCTATTCTCTCTACAATTAATATTATTTCTCTAGGTATTAATAACACGCTAATTATGGTCTAAGTCGTGTTATAATTCGTAAATAAAATTAATTAAATAACAAAAATGGCGCTAACGTCTCACTCTCTATTTTTTGTCGTCTATATAATACGACTTGAATTTGAAATTTATAAATTTGTAAATGTGAATTTGATATCGGAAATGAAGGAAAACAATATGATTCTTATGGTGAATATAGAGTAGAACCTCGATAAGATAAAGACCAAGGGAAACGTAAAGTAATTTGAGTTATTGAGGTTTTTACTTACTATGGGTTTAAGTTTAAGCTTTAAAATTATGGATTTCCAGTGACTTAGAAAACTCTTCAGCTTTTTACTTTAGTATAGATCCATTAACACTAATGTTTTTATATCTACACTGTCTAAACCATGTAAGTAACAAGCATTTTTCTAAATTAGGAAATTCAGCAATTCTTCGTCTTTTACATAGATGACTTTCTCCCGATTCAAACCACTTTTCACTGCTTACTGAGGTGCGATGCCCAAATTATTCGTTTAAGTTATAGAGGGTTTTTATTTTAAGTATTAGAGGTTTTGAACTCCGAGGGAAAGGAAACACAAAAGTTTATGAATTTATGGAGGTTATTACGTTATCGAGGTTCAAGTTATCAAGGTTCTAATGTACTTTATAGTTCTAATGCATATATATTTAAAGTTAGTGTAGCAAGAAGGGTTAATGCATTAAAATAGTAAGCTGCTTCAATGTCAAATGATTTTGATTAAAAGTTTCTGAATTTGTATATTTTAGGCCTCCCATTTTCGAATATACTTACGGGAAATTTTGACGTTAATAATTGAACAGCACTGACTTAAATCTCATACAACCATTAAATGTTACCTCATTTTCAATGAAATTGCCTAGAGTCAAACTTGGTAAATATCGACACTCACTATACAATGTCTTTAAATTATTCATGGACCTTCTGAAAGTTAGATGTCGTGAATGTTTAAGAACTTTTGTTTTATTCAAGAAAGAAAACTGTTATTACACAACGAACTTGTATTAAAGTTCGTTGAGCGTTAACAACTATACCACTCGATAGAAAGTTTTAATTAAATGACCTAATTAGGTACCTACGCAGAGTGTTGATTACAATGAAATTTATACGATCGTTCTAAATTCTGATTATTCTTAAAACTTATTCAAAGATTAAATTGTTTCTGTGCATGTAACAACTGCTGACCTGCATGATATTAAGTCAAATAATCTATTGCTAAATATACAGAGTTCGTTATAAGTTTTTTTCTCATAAAAAAAGTGCGCATGTCGAAGGCTATTAAAAAATAAAACAGGTAAACACAATAAATTGACTTCAAATATTATATATAAAAGTAATTATGAGTGCTGTCGGCACAGAGCAAAGTAGTATTGCGTAAATGAAAGTTAGTATCAGCAATTTCTTATGCTGAAGTGTACGATATGTTGCATAACTATTTACAAACAATTCCTTTAAATTTAATTTTTCAAACAATTTTTAACACAAAGAAACTGATTAAACAAATTGTTCACACATTGTGAATTTAAACCACTAGAAGCAATGGTGCTAACAGTTTCGAGCTAACAGTAATTAATATGGGGGAAAAACTAGAGTATTCTAAACTTATTTTTCTTGACATCCGAATCATCCCTTAACTTGTAATGGATGCAATGGTTTATTTTATACACAATATTAACGCCTAAACCTATCGTTGGAAAAGTCTACAAACCTATGCGAAACGTCGGACACGGTTTAAAAATTAACAAATAAATTATTTACCTCCCATCGCTACCTTGATTTATACATTCTTAACGTGTTTCCTTTTTATTGGCTAACAAGCTTTTCTCCGTAGCTTTGCTTGCGTTGATGTCCTAGATAAGTATCAAAGATCATCGAAAATGCAATAGTTTGGTAAATAGTCCTAAGTAGGATCATAAGGATAAAACTAGAATGTCTAATAGTCTAGGTTAAACATACAGTTTGCGTCGAATGGCAGTAAATATTGTCCTTCTTTATCGAGAGATATTCTCTATGTCTTTTTCTGTACCCCTGGCAATGTGTAAACAAAACTTCGTTATGATCGGCTGAGAAATTAATGCGTGAAACAAACAAAACTCACATTCTCGTTTATATTATTAGTTAGGATAAGACACTTCATCGGGTTTAATGTATCTGCAGCTTATTTGTAGCGAACAGGATTCCATATTATTTAAGGAAGCAGCATACCTAACGTGTTAAACTGTTATGTTGAACTTATTAGTTCTTAGTATAACTAAATATCCAATTAATCATTTACAAAACCAAAATGGCCGAATGCGAACGAGTTCCAAAAATGTGACGATATGTACCTGTAAGTTAATACTTAAGAATGGTCCTCGTCCTGGTCCAACCTCATCCTTTGAAGTGGATTTTAGAAGCTTTTAATGACAAAAGTACGAACGGAATAAAATTGTTTATTATTATTTATTAACATTATTTAACAATTAAGTGATTCCTAAAATGAATTAATGAACAAAGATTACGTATTCAAAGCGTGATGATCCTAGTATTATTTGTACGTAATAGTTTGATTGAACAAATTACAGATTAACGTATCATAATGCCAACGCCATGATCGCTCTCTAATAGGGCGATTTTGTGTTTATTACCTTCATAAATTTGTCACAAAAGTTATGGTTATAGGGAAATTAGAGTAAATCGCTAGAAACTACGAATCTACTTCTGTAAGTATCTCGCTTCATAGCTGTTAACTGTAATTGTTTATTTATAACTTACTGGGTTTCCAAGCAGTTAAAAGGAGCACGAATTTACGTCAATTTAAGTATTTACAATGAAGCTAATTTTCCACAAAAAAAAATTGTTCTTATATCAGACAATTAAAATATAAAAATGACTTCTTATTATAGTACCTATAATCCAGTAAAAGGCTTCTGCTAACTTATTACTAGTTCATTTGATAAAGGCATAAGAAATACACCAGAAGGATGATGTTAAAATAAGATATTGCTTAATTTTTTACAAAAATATGCAGAAGACAATTTTAAAAAAGTTTTTTGTCCTTAAACTACAGTTATATTATTTCGGTGATTTCTTAAGGGGGCCTCATAATTAAGACGACCCCCTTTTCATAAGACTAATTTTTCAATTTTAACAAACTGAAATAGTACTTAGGTACGTATTTAAAATTAAACGCTGTATCACCAATTAAATTACAATTAAAAATTAAAAATTATATAGTTACATATATATTTATCATCGACATATAATTAATATTATTTGACGTAGATGTTTCATTTCATACCTAATCGCTTATTTTATCGCTTGAAAATTACTAAGTATTATTTTCCCTTCATATTATTATCGTACAGCGAATAATTCTAATAAAGTTTATTAGCCTGATTAGTTAAGATACTCTAACAGGAGGATTAGCGTGTACAATACGAAAACAAAATATGCATGCTGTAAGTTATTACAGAAATATTTGTCGTAAAGTATATCGTATGTATACTAAACAAGAATTATTTTGACTCGAAAAGAGTTTCTATCAGGTAGGTATCTTGAATAAGTGAAAAGTTTTCTAAGGTAGTTAGAAACCTACCATTTGCGTGAAGGATCGCGACAAACACTGCTGCGATTAGCATAAACATTGGCGACAGCATACCAAAGTGTTGGTGAAAGCTTCAGAGCCACTTGTACTTTATTGCACTCGCGCTTTTTCTCAATAGCGTCGGACCCGCGCCACGTCCTATGTGTTACGTATATCACAATTACAAGCGTTACTATCAACAGTAGCGATAGGACTGCAATCACCGCACTTGATCCGAAGACTCGCCCGCGCGAATCGTTTTCAGACGGGCGAGAGTCGGTAGCGGTTCTCGGACTCGGCGAATGACAACTCCGAGAAGTATCGCGCAAGTCCTCCGCGCGCGCGAACACGTGTGTTCGCTTTTATCGCAATTGCGCCCTCATAATATGCTCATTGCTAATATCGGATGATAGAAGGGGCATTAGGAAAGACGATGCCGCGTCGAACGACGGATACGACGGTCGATAGGGTGATGGTGGCGAAGAGGAGCATCCGAGAACGACCGTTTATATGCTGTCGACGCGATTCCAAGCGAACAGTCGATGGAATTGAATCGGAAAACGACTTAAGCCTCTCTCGAAACTCTCATCCTAACCACGACAAACAAGTCGATACTTCACAGCACAATAGTACAAACTACGGCGAATGCACAATCGCACAAAGATCGTCACTCTGAAAGAATTGTAGCGTCTTGAAATAGAAAAGCTTTTGAATCCTCATGAAAATTTCACGATGTCTCAGCGAAACCCGACTAGAATTTGGGAGAGGGGCGAGAGGTTACTTAGGGTCTCCACGAGGCTAGCCACACAGCCTCACGAGGCTGTCCGGTAAGACACAAAGGTCGTACAACGCTTGCCTCATTCCACTTTGGGAGATAGTCACTCGAATTATACCAGTTGATAAGTTTCTCTGAGATATTTGATGTTTCACTAATCGCACCCCCTCCCATTAAGACAGATGATGGAATGATTCATATGTGGAGATTCTAATAGGAATATGCCGAGAAATCCCTCTATTGACATGACCCTGATTTGACACATAATGCATGCCCTGCATTTTAGTCGGACCGTTGAATATCCACGAAACATACTTAAGTATACTAACAGGAATATACAAATCCAAACAGTAAAAGATATCATCATCATCATCATCTTCATCACCATTATCAACACTATTATCATCGTCATCACTGGACACGCACCTTCAATCCTCCCTATTCTGAATCAATTTTCGTGTTTCCCACACCCCTAACTGTTTGAGAACAGTAATCAAATCTAGGTTTCCCTTCTTCGCTTCTGTTTCTGTTTCTAATGTTCCTCTAGGTAGCCTTCATGTCTCAAAATGTGCCCTGTCATCCTATCTCACCTTTTTCTTATAAACCTTCATAGAGCTTGTAGTTCTACTGCTCTTAATATCACCTCATTCCTAAACTTTTCTATCCAAGTTTTTTTTTATCATTCTCGCACAATATCGCATCTTAGACGTTTCTTAACTTTTTTATTTCCACGTTTCGCACACAACCCTGCTCCAAATAACACATACAATGAACCCATTTATTGTTTTACATGGCGACGGCGGTCATGACCCTTACTTTAACATTACCTATTTCGTCCTATTACTAGGCCTCCTGGTCCCTTATATATGAAAGAGACCTATCTAATCTCTACGAGCCTTGCAGTGCTGATATCCGAGCAGTTTTGGCATCTTGCTCACCTGCTCTCCCCAGCCGGGCTGAATCTACTGCGAGTACGAGTTCTACTCCACTCGAGTTAATCCATAAGGGGGGGGGGGGCTATGATCTCCCGTAGTACTAGTCAAAGTCACTGGTGAACATTCATGCAACCCATCTCAGACAAAATTACTTGCAACTGGCACTGATGGACCAGATTTGCCGGGTTTTGGTAATTCCGGTACGCATCTGGAAGTATCAAGCGTCTCTCCGTGGAGATACTGGATGGTCTTTATAACCAGGATCACTAGGATGTTCCCCAATTACAAGTGACACTTAAATTACCTTGAATCCAGACAATGGGCTGAATGCCCAGGCGAAGCTACGGACTAACTCCGAGGGGTTTCCCCCCTTCTGTATGCATGTTCCCGCCCTCTAAATGACAATGAAAAGTCTGAAAATTTTAATCTTTACGTTATGCAATGTCGCTACATTTTCATTATGAACGGAAGTGTGAATTTGGCTTCGAATTTGATCAACACCGATTTTGTTCATTATTAACTCTGCATAACTGATTATTATTATCACAATCAATGATAATTATAATATATTTCATTATGTATGTAGACAATATCCATAATTTACTATCACTTAATAATAGTTTGATAATTTCATAACTTCCACAGGAAATTTCCATAAATAACTACCATTCGTTATAAAATTTTCATTTAGTTACTAATTAATCATTAGTGACCAAATCAATGTGTAAGATATTAAATATTTAATTAAGTACGGAAAATTATTTACCTCGAATTAAAATGTAAAATGTTGAAGGTTGATAAAACAATTTTCCCCGATGTTTTTAATTTTTTGGTTTCAGTTCGATGAAAACATAATTCAATTATTAAAAAGTTAGACTTTGCCTTTACGTCATCGACATAATTTGTACGAACCAATAAACAACGTCATAGGAAGGGTGTATTAATAGTACGATAAGTTAGTAAATGTTAACTACAGAAATTCGAAAATGTCATTTGAATAAGTGAAATTAGTAATGAATTGATGAACATAATTTAGAAGAAAAAATTATCTGAAGTATCGGAAAATAGTATGTTTTTTAGGTTGTAACAATACTTTCTTAGCTACAAGTAAGGTGACGAAGAATGCCAATGCAATTTTCAATCACTCATAGAACAGTGAATTACTTAAAGACCTAATTATTGGGTTGTTCGGAAAGTCATTTCGTTTTTTCCCGACAGAGGATTTAATTGTATTCTTTTGCACCCAACTTCACATTTAAGCCGTATAATTTTTATATGCTTTGAGAGCTCATATAGCAAGGCTTGTGTGTGAAAAATTCCAATTAATTCTACGCAGTAGTTTTTGGTTGGTGCCCTTTTAAATATGGAGAGCGATAAGCAGCATTTTCGACATATCTTACTGTTTTACTACAGAAAGGGTAAAAATGCTGTTCAAGCCAGAAATAAATTGACTGATGTGTATGGAGAAGGTGTGTTGACAGTACGCCAGTGCCAGAACTGGTTCGCTAAATTTCGATCCGGAAATTTTGATGTAGAAGATGCACCACGTTCGGGAAGGCCGGTTGAAGCTGATAAAGACGCGATAAAGGCATTAGTTTATGTGAACCGGCGAATAACAACACGTGAGATCGGATTGAGGTTAAATTTATCAAATTCAACAGTTTATGACCACTTGAAAGGTCTGGGATTATCCTTGAAGCCCGATGTATGGGTTCCCCATGTTCTCACAGAGAGAAATCTGTGTCGCCGCATTGACGTCTGCGATTCGCTTCTCAAACGTCACGAAAATGATCCGTTTTTGAAGCGCATCATCACTGGGGACGAAAAATAGGTTGTATACAACAACGTCAAACGCGAGAGGTCGTGGAGCAAAAAAGATGAACCGGCTCAAACCATTTCCAAAGCCGATATTCATAAAAAAAAAGGTGATGCTGTCTGTTTGGTGGGATTTTAAAGGAATCTTTTTTTTTGAGCTTTTACCGGATAACACAACGATTAATTCGGAAGTCTACTTCTCTATAAACTGGACAAACTGAATGATGCACTTCAACAGAAAAGGTCAGAACTAATCAACAGGAAAGGTGTAGTGTTTCACCAAGACAACGCGACAAGCTTTTACAGCTTGAATGGGATAGAATGCTACACCCACCATATTCTCCAGACCTGGCACCATCGGATTATTATTTGTTCCGGTCACTCCAAAATTTTTTAGACGGTAAAACCTTCACCTCAAATGAGGAGGTGAAAAACCTCCTCGATCAGTTTTTTGCCAGCAAAGACCAAAAATTTTATGAGCGTGGAATTATGCTACTACCAGAAAGATGGCAAAATTGTTGGACCAGAACGGTCAATATATAATTTAATAAAGTATTTGTTTATTATACGAAAACTGTCTTTCATTTCCACAAAAAAAAAACGAAATGACTTTCCGAACAACCCTGTACTTTAATAAATAAGTTAAAAATGCTAATTTCACAGTGTAATATTTTGATCCCTGTGTTCTAGGTACCTGATTTATAATCAAATCTATCCGGTTATTAAACTTCATCTCTGTGTATTTATATAAATAGCAAGTTACAATCACAAAGTAGGTGGAAAGTTGCATTGTTGAAGTAATGTGTACCCTGTACAGAGATAAATGCATGTACATATTATACTGCAAGTGAAAAATATTGTTTGGTTACTCAATTTACGTTGAATGTTAGTTTATTCGGAAAAATGTCCAGACGAATGATAGTGTGTTGTATCGTCCTGCAGGAGAAAAGACGAAGGAACTTATAAAGATGTCCATGTAAGAACTTTATTATTCGCCGCCGTCGTTGTCAGCGTCACCGTCGCCGGAACGCCGCTACGCTATGTACTCTGGCACTCAGGGCTAATAATATATTTGTCGGATAGGCAGGCAGTCACGTCCCCCTGTTTTCCGACGACGCGTCCCGTTTATCGGGGGGTAGGAAGCCTGTTTTTGGACAATCGCCGAATTGTCGGCAACTACGGAGTCCGTTCTGGCTCAGCGTACCGTCGAAAATGTCGACGCTCCACGGCGTCGTCCCTTTCGCCGTTCGCCCCCGCCCGCCCTGTCCCGTTCTTTTATTCCCCATTCGCGCGAAGCAAAAACAATATCTGTGTAATGAAGTGGAACTGTAATTTTCTCGACTAAAACCTTTTGTAATCTCCTTCAGCTCGGCTGTCTTTTCAGAACATCCTAAAGTCTAATGAAAGCTGAATGCAACAGACGGTTTTTTTGCAACCGAAAATGCCAACTGATAAATGCGAACAGGCAGATTAATCGCATCGCCTAATACTTCTTTCCGAAACGGCTCCACTAATTTTTATTCGTCCGTTAATCTTTTTGAATTCGCTTTTAAGCGACCGACTGCAAAATATTGTCATGCTTCGATATCTTTCAGTCATTAAGCATATGAAATTCAATTCTAACGTTTCTTCGCTTTCGGAAGAGAAAACTCTTATGGACAACGGCAGAATCGACCAATCGATAGATTTAGAACTA